CTGACAACAGTCCCTGGAGGCCTGGTCTTTGTTCTATCACTATGTCCCTCTTCCCTCCTCGTTAAAGAACCCGGTCGGGATGCGACACAGGCTTCAGGGGGCTTCTCCCCGGACGCGCCTGCTCCCCCGCCCCTGCCAGCTCTCAGGGCTGCCGCCTGCGCTCTGCCTGGTTCAGGCGGCCCTCACTGCTTCCTGCCTGGCCCGCCCCCCTGTCATCATCCTTTTGTCTAAGCCCTTCAGTCCTGAGAGCCTCCAGCCGCCGCCTGCGCCCTGCCTGGTTCAGGCGGCCCTCGCTGCTTCCTGCCTGGCCCCTCCCCGCTGTCATCATCTTTTTGTCTAGAGCCCTTCAGTCCTGAGAGCGTGCGAGTTCGTCCTCCCCATCACGGATCCATCTCTCCCGGGGCCATTCTGTCCTCTCGCTCCCGGGATGCCCCCAGCACGTCTCCAAAATTTCCACCGTCTTATGGGTGTTCTTACTGCCCCCCCCTCCCGCTCCCTCCCACTCCTTCCTTCTCTCAGGAGCTGGCATCACCGCTTCCCCTCTCCTCACCTTCCTCCTGCCGCCCACACCATGGAGGACAGGGAATGGCTAATCTAGATGAGGCGACGACTACTTAATTGTGCTCCCATCACAGGACGACGGGGTTCCTGTCCCCCGTGTCCTTAGGTGTGTACTCATGGCCGCGTGGAGCTTGCACACTGCGCTGCGGCCCATCCGACACCCCTGCCTGAGGCGCAGCAGCCCTGCCGGTTAGAGCACCATCACCACCATCACCACCATCACCGTGTAATTGTCTCTCTCGCCGGCTAATTACACGCGGGATTATTTGTGTGTCACAGCGTATTCCTATTCCTAATTGCGGTGTCGTTTCGCAAACCAGGACCCAGCCCGGGAGGCGCCCATCATTCCTCTAAATAACAAGAAAGTCAGCCGATGCGAAGTCAGCTTCCGGCCGTCTCAAGGTCACCGCTGCCCGAGAGGAGGCACAGGTCTGGGGTGAGGGAGCCGGGAATGCACACCTCCCACCAGGTTCAGGGCCGCCGCCTCCCAGCCCAGCACGCACGCCCCGCCCCGTGTCAGGACCGGCTCTCTGGTCTGTCTTCTGCCCGGACTGTGAGACTCGTGCCGGCAGGACGCTCGGAGGGCCTGATTTTTGTCGGTGGTGCAGAGGGTACGTGCCGGCGGGGGCTGGAGGACTGCCCCGGAGCTCAGGCCTGAGGGTCCTGTCTATGAAGCATCCTTCCAGCTGGGGAGGGAGGGGGTGCACGTGCCCAGAGAGGCCGGCAGGTGACCCCGAGTTCTCTTCCCTGAAGAATGTCAATCACTTTGTTTTAATTGGGAAGCCAACTCTGTTGTGTTTTTATTTTTATAAATATGTTTTTATTGACTTCAGAGAGGAAGGGAGCAGGAGAAAGAGAAACATCAATGATGAGAGAGGATCACTGATCGGCGGCCTCCTGCACGCCCCACATTGGGGTTCAAGCTCGCAACCCAGGCCTGTGCCCTGACTGGGGATCAAACCGTGACCTCCTGGTTCATAGGTCAATGCTCAACCACTGAGCCATGCTGGCCAGACAGCCCTACAGTCTTTGCTTCTCAGGAGGGAGCTCCTGTGGCCACAGACCCTCAGGGCCTATGGAGAAGGGACAGAGGGAGGTGGCGCTGGTTAGGAACCTTGTGGCCAGTTTTTCTCCCACTGGCAGTGCCCGGACAGTCCCTGCAAGGCCAGGGAGGTGACCGCTCCTGCTCTGAGCGTGTGTGTGTTTCCAGTGGCTGTGTGTCGAGCCGCCAGGCGCAGTGGCATCACACGACACCAGCTATCTCGCAGTCCTGGAAGCAGAAGTCTATGTTTCCAGTGGCTGTGTGTCGAGCCGCCAGGCGCAGTGTGACGCCAGCTATCGCGCAGTCCTGGAAGCGGAAGTCTACGTGAGCCTTCGGGGCTGACATCCAAGTGGCGACGGCTGGCTCCTTCCGGAAGCTCGGGAGAATCTTTCCAGCTTCCAGAGGCACCCCACTCCCTGGCCCGTGGCCCCTCCCCCATCTCCACAGTCCCTGCTGGCATTTGCAGTAATAACACTCGCATGTGGACGCCTCTGGGGGCGGGATGTTACTCAGCCCCCCACAGCGTGGTGGAGGTAACGCAGACATGGGAGGCGGCCCTGGAGCGTTGGCCTCGGCCTCCCAGGCCTGGTCTCTCCACCACACCCCGTCCCATCAGAGGGGCACGCGGCTCAGACACGCGGACCCTGGGTTCTCCCAGGTGGAGGTGGCCCTGAGGTCCCCCTTCTTTAAAGGGCTCCCCACACAGTCCCTGCTGGCATTTGCAGTAATAACACTCGCAGGTTCTGGGATTAGCATGTGGACGCCTCTGGGGGCGGGACGTTACTCAGCCCCCCACAGCGTGGTGGAGGTAACGTGGCGACGGAACAGCCCAAGGGCCTGCTGCCGAACAGAGGGGCACGCGGCTCAGACACGCGGACCCTGGGTTCTCCCAGGTGGAGGTGGCCCTGAGGTCCCCCTTCTTTAAAGGGCTCCCCAAGGTGGACTCCCCTCGTCAGGGTGAAGCAGACGTTTGCTCGGGGACAGAGCTGCTCGGAGGCGAGGTCTGCAGGCAAACGCCCAGGTGAGCGAGCAGAACGAATAACGAGGTGGACAATGGAGACCTGTGCTGACCCTGAGCTTCTGAGGGAGGCGGCGGAGGGCCTGGAGCCTCGGCCTCGGCCTCCCAGCCCTGGTCTCTCCACCACGCCCCTGTCCCATCAGAGGGACACGCGGCTCAGACACGCGGACCCTGTGTTCTCCCAGGTGGAGATGGCCCTGAGGTCCCCCTTCTTTAAAGGGCTCCCCGAGGTGGACTCCCCTCGTCAGGGTGAAGCAGACGTTTGCTCGGGGACAGAGCTGCTCAGAAGCGAGGTCTGCAGGCTAACGTCCAGGTGAGCGAGCAGAACGAATAACGAGGTGGACGATGGAGACCTGTGCTGACCCTGAGCTTCCGAGCGAGGCGGCCGGAGCAGCCGAGCCGAGGGCTGGGCTGGGCTCCTGCATCTTAAAGCAAGAGCATTCTCCCAGGTCCTTCCACAAAGACTTTGTAGAGTGTGTGTGTATGTGTGTGTGTGTGTGTTTGTGGATGTGTGTGTGTGAGTGTGTGAGTGTGAGTGCGTGTGTGTACGAGTGTGTGAGTGTGAGTGCGTGTGTGTGAGAGTGTGTGTGTGTGCCTGTGTGCGCGTGCGTGAATGTGTGTGAGTGTGTGCGCGAGTGTGTGCATGTGTGTGAGTGCGTGTGTGCATGTGAGTGTGTGTGAAAGTATGTGTGTGAGTGTGTGTGTGTGTGTGTGTGTGTGTGGATGTGTGTGTGCGAGTGTGTGTGTGTGAGAGTGTGTGTGTAGGTGAGAGAGAGAGACGAGTATTCAAACCAACACGGATCCTTCATGGAGTAAAATGGAAATTCACATGAATTTTTAACTAAAGACATGACACCTGACGGCTGCCCTGTGCCGGGCCAGCTCCCCCGGGCGGCGCCTGCTCTCCCCACATCCTGTTCTCACAGCCAAGTCAGAGAGCACTCGGCCAGCACCCAGGGGGGACTCGCGGGCAGCAGGGAGGCCAGGGCCTGGCCCAGGGTGTCGGGCTGTGCCATGACAACGCAAGGACACCGTGCCCTGGACACCAGGCAGACACTGTGCCACAGGCGCCAGGGGGGCACGTGCTCTGGGCACCAGGGGGGACACCCTGCGTGGGCACCAGGGGGGACACCCTGCGTGGGCACCAGGGCCCGGAGCTCTGATTACACGCCGGCGAGACAAAAATAAAAGGGAATTCGCTTTGTGAGACGGGTTGCAAAGTGGTCTCTTAAGAAGCTATAAAGTGCTGCTTGGCCTGTAATTGCTGCTTGAATGGAATCCTAATTGTATTTGCATCTTCCTGCAAAACCTATCCATTACCGACAACAGGGAGGTGGGCCGCGGGCACGCTGCCGCAGGTTACCCACAAATAGGGGCCCCCCTTCTCCCAGCCCCGACTCGCCGGGGAGGAAGCCTCCCTGTAGGCCGACGTGGGCCCCTCTGCTCTTTCCCCACAAAAACCCAGCAGGAGAGCTCAGTGTCAGGCTCCTCCAGACCCTGAAGGTTCTGGAAGGTTAAAATTGTTTGTCCAGTTCACCCACGCTCCCCGGTGCCCAGCCAGGATCCTGGCACATAGTAGGAGCTTCGCCCCCACTGGAGGGCTACAGATTGGAGGGTCCTCTCTCCCAGCAGCAAGCACGCAGCCTGCGCACAGTAGGGCCTGACGCACACCTGCTGAGTGGCTGGGTGCTGGTGTCGAGAGCGACCTTGGAGCCCTGTGGACCCGCCCTCTCGCAGACACTGTTAGAGCATCTGTGAGCCGTGGGCCGGCCTCCCGCGAGGAAGCGCGGGCTCCGGATTCCCACCCAGAAGTCAGGACCCCCTGAGCCCTCCGCGGCTGCCCCGCATTGCTGTGGGTCCCCCGGGGATTTACCCAAGGGTCTCCTCAGGAGCCAGGTGGGGAGGGGTGGCCCTGACCGACACCGTGCCCTCCTCACGGCCAGCAGACGGCCAAGCGGGGAGACACAATCAGACCACAAACATGCAAAGCTCGGCTGAAAAGTCAAAGCCACGTCGAAACCCAGTCAACAGAGAAACCTGAGCCGAGCGGGCGCGTGTCCTGCCTGCGAGGACTCCGACCAGCCGAGCGCCTCCTGCCCTGGCAGTGCCCACCCTCCGTGCTGCTTCGTCCAGGGGTGCCTCCCGGGCCGAGAAGACCAAGGCACCGACTGGCACACAGAGCCTTCCCCAAAGGCCCTGCTTGCTGGTCACTTAAAACCCACTCAGTGAAATGGGTGAAGGCGGAACTGGGTGGGCGGCACTAGAGAGGCGGACAGAGAGGACCAGCTCTGTGGGTGGCCAGGGCCTCAGTAGGACCGGCTGTGTGGGTGGCCAGGGTCCCAGCAGGACCGGCCGTGCGGAGTGCCGGCGAGCACCTACCTTCCTCTTGTTGGCGGGGCAGATGAAGAAGCTGTCGATGACGGTGGTGAAGCCAGGCTGGATGGCGAGCTTGGTGTAGGTCGTCCCGAAGTCCGACGACCTGGGGAACAGGACACAGCCATCAGCGACGGGCTCCTCGGAGCCGGCTGGACCGAGTCCACAGCGTATGCCAAGTGGGCCACGCGCCCGCCCCGTAGCCCCCTCATCCTGGGCAGCAGGAGACTGGCTCCCTCGGGACGCCGGGCAATCTCTCTGGCCGGGAGCTGGGACCAGTGTCCGGGCCCACACCCCACACTGCTACTGACTGCCGGGCCTCCCTGGTCACACGCAAGGTTTGGGCACCGGTTTTCCCTCTGAGGCAGCCGAGGGCTGGGATCAGGGGTCCCCGGCCCCGTAGCCCCCTCATCCTGGGCAGCAGGAGACTGGCTCCCTCGGGACGCCGGGCAATCTCTCTGGCCGGGAGCTGGGACCAGTGTCCGGGCCCACACCCCACACTGCTACTGACTGCCGGGCCTCCCTGGTCACACGCAAGGTTTGGGCACCGGTTTTCCCTCTGAGGCAGCCGAGGGCTGGGATCAGGGGCCCCCGGCCCCCCCACCAGTAGAAAGGCTGCGGTCCCGTGCCCTTACCCAGCGCGTCCTGCCTGTTACCCATCCTCTCGGGGACAGCGCTTGCCCCGACCGCGGTTCCCGGGGGGCCCTCATCATCTCCCATTTATCTCCCTCGTTGCTCCCCGGCCACCTGTTCCTCACATGAGTTCAGGTCAGTGAGTCTGGCAGTGAGGGTGTCTGCAGGAAGGGTTATTCCAAGAAAAGAGCCCAGACTGGCGGTTTTGCGCCGTCTCTGCCTCTCCCGTGTGTCGGGGGTTGAGGGGCGCCTGGGATACGCACCCCGCTCTGCAGGACGCGCAGTGATTCTGCCGCAGACCCGGGGGACGGGGGGCGGGCCAGACGCCCGATGGTGGACGGTCTTGTCTCTCCCCAGGAGCAGGGTCAGGG